TTTTAATTAAAAGAAGACACATCCTACTTAATGCTTGGTGACTTGTCATTTTAACATCCAATTCCTTCAACCTCAAGGCCTCCATCATGTCAAATTTTGCTGCATAAAGTCACATCCTGCTTATTAACTTGGCTGCACGCAACATTTTCTTAAATCCTTAAGTAAGGTTCACAACCCCAACCCTTGAAGACACTTTATATACCTCCTACTAAGATATTTAGCCCTTCAAGTTACCCCCAAGTGAAAGAGAAAGCAAAGGAAATAGAGAGAAGCAGAAACAAGAAGCTGGAAACTAAATTTCTGGATATGTGAGTTAGCTCAAGGTTTTGAAGGTTGTTTTCATTTTTTTGAAGGTGTTACAATCTCTTGAGACTCTGAAATTGCTTGATATTATGTTGGGGGTGCTATTAAGGCAAAAAGAGGGATAATTGGTGGAAATATATTGAGTGAAACAACTGAGGACAAAAATTGCATAGTTGTTGGATTCTGCTTATTCAACCTTTGATTTTGGGTAATATCTTGAGTATATATTGTATTTATTAATATGAATGTTTTTATATATGATTTTGAAGTATATAAATGATCTTTAATAGGTTAGAACCTGAGTTGTGGTATGTTAATCCAAGTGAAACTTAAAACAGCCATAATGAAATTTTTGATTCGGTGTTCGATAAAAGGGATTGATTTTCAGGCTTTAAATCGATTACTTGTGGTGAATTAATAACAGATTTACCTGAACATATATGTTATATAAGTGTGGTAAAAGTTTGGGAGTTGATTGATGTGATTAAGGGTACAAAAAAGAGACCGGAAAGTGAAACGGGCAGCAATAGAAATTGAAAAAATGGTTATTACCATCTTCATATTTCATATACTTCAGCCTTTACATAATCACTAATCACCTCTAAAGCTTGGAAAAATTGATTTGAATGAGTCTTAGGACGATAATGATCCAAATAAATGATGTTTATAACAATGAACTTGAAAATAACAAGAGTTATATAGCGGGTTACTTGTAGTGTTAGCCCTTAATGCTGTCTATAGATATTGGACATCGTCGCGGTCTAACCGCGCTTTGACCAGGCAAGGTGAGAAGCTGCCTAGTTAACGCAACTAAAACAAAGTAGACGACACATGTAACCAACCCAGTCGAGCCGCCAGGGGCGAAGAGCTCAACGAACGGAAAGGCTTTTGAATAGAGAGCTAAGTTACCCTTACTGCCACTCTACAGAATCGTACATGAGATTTTCACCTCATACGGCTCCTCGTTCAATTCATTCGAATTCATTGGATCCTTATCCGCGTTCGAGATTCCCCTCCCTTCTTCCACTCTGTCCCGTAGAGAAACTAGGACCATTTAGTCATATTTTCATGTTCCAATTGCGATGCTTATCCTTTGTTGCCATGAGGATGAAAACCATTTTTGTTCTTTTCTGAACTGGATGTCAGATCTTTTTTGGTTTTTTTTTTTCATATATTGTTAGGGTGTTTCTTTTTGAAGTGATATGTGCTAACACAGGTTTTTTATTTGCACTGTGCAGATGTGTCCAGTCTGTGCAATGATGGTGGACGTCGACATGGTTGGTCATATAACGTTGCACCATGCCAATATATTTAAGATATCCTTTTCTCTCAGTTTGCATTCTCTGCTATGTTGGGGTTACCTGCAGTTCCTTTTTGTGATGTCATTAAATTGTTTCTATTTTTCTTCTTTGTTGTTTCTTGATTCTGCAAGAGGAAGTTGCCTTACATGATCCTATTGTGCATCTAGCCTGAGATTCAAGTTGGTGCTTTACTTGGAATCACAAGGCTCAGAAAAAGATTTTGAATTTACTAGTGACTTAAAATCTTTCTTTTCTTCTTCGTGTCTGCATTGTTTTCTTCAAAGAAGCTTTAAGTAGAAGAACTCAAATTCTGAGTTTGGGAGCCAATTTGTTCTTAGGTGTTTGGAGAAGTGCTTTTCAAAATACAATTTGATGTCCTTCATTGTTTGCATAAGGATGTTGGGGAAAAGAACTTGTATTTGAGTATAAAGCTTGAAGTTTAAAATTATAAATCTAGGACAGGTTTTGGCGTTGTTGTGGCAGTAGCAGTGGTGTCCTGACTGGAGGGATGGGGACTAAGATGGTGATGAAAGGTGGATATTGGAGGTTGTATCGGCACACCTGTCTGTTTTCCAATTTCGTTCACGGGGAAATACTCAAGGAAAGGCCAGCTTCACTTGGCTCCCAAAAAACCTTTTATGGAAATGATGTTGAGATAACTTGTTTTTGCTTACAAATGTTTTCATAGCCTTTAATTTATTTTTGCTCCTTTTATGCTATGAGAACTCGACCATCTGCCATGAGTTCCTTGACTAAAGATTACATGCATCGCAAGAGGAAATCACATAAAGCTGGTTATTCAAAACTTTCTTTGTTGAGGAGGGAACTGCGAGAAGGGAAGCTACATTCACTTTTTGGAGGGTCTTCTCGTGTAGCTTCTTCAAACAATGCAGCTCCAGACCCATTATTGTCTTCATTTATTTTGCCAATAGGTGATGATTTTGGAAGCCTTCCATCGCATTCTTCAACCGAGTTAGTATCAATCAAGAAAAGTGCAACCGCAAATTCTTCAGAAAGGTAACCCATATTAATTATTCTGGTTGAGTATCACTTTTTCGTATTAGCATATGGTTACTCGTGGAACAGGATACATTTTAAAGTTTACCACAGATTGAATGAAGGATAATAAGAATCTAATAGAAAAGGGTGAAATCAAATTTCAATTAGGATTACAAATGCTACCTATTAAGTTCTTGCTTGTTCTTGGCGTATATTGTGTTTAATTTGCCGGTTCATGAAATAGAAAAGATTATAATGGTCCTTGTTGTTTGTTTTACTTCCATTAATGCTGATGTATTTTTTAGCAGCCATTAAAATGGTTCTTTGGGATGCTGTCATCTTTCTTTCATTTCCTTGAATTGTTATGTCATCAATTAGGGCTACACAAAATAATCGCGAAACCGCAAACCAAACCGAACCGAAACCGTTAGTTTGAAACCGTTGGTTCGGGTCCACGCGGTTTTTCCCCTAAAAAAAAACCAAACCGTTTCAAAATGGTTTGGTTTAGGTTTCAATTTTCAAAAACTGCATAAAACCGAACCGAACCGAACCTTTTTTTTTTTTAAGTTTTCACTTTTTAGCAAAAAATACCAATTTAGCCATACAAATTATAACCAACCCATTGAAATAATCATTTAGATTAAAGTAAGTTCATCATTATTGGTCGATGTTTTTATAAGTCCACAACACACGTTCTGACCCGATATCTAATTAAAACTAAAATTAATCCCAAATCATATGAAATAAAAAAATATTTATTTTCAACAATCCAAATCATTTTTTTTTGATAAGTAATCATGTAATTTTATAAATCAAAAGATAATACACAAGAAGTGCATTATCAATTTAAACAAGATAGGAACAACAAGAAATTTGGCAACTCTTCTACCGGACTAATAGTTGCAGCCTTAAACCAACTATACAAAGTGAAGTAAAACAATTCTCTAAACTGTTCTGGCGTCCGTGTTACNTTTTAGCAACCGACTTTGAAAATAATTTATTCACGGTTGGTAATGATGAATGTAATTTAACGTTAATATTATTAGTTCTCGTTTAAACTTATATATTAACTTATTTTAAATATATTATTATAATGTCGATAGGTAAATCGCGGATTAAAACCGAACCACCCCGCAATTTATGGTTTGGTTTGGTTCGAAAAATAAAATGTTTGGTTTGATTTGAACAAATTCCAAACCGCATGAAATGGTTTGAGTTGAAAATATGGCAAACCGCCCAAATCGAATCGTGTTCACCCCTATCATCAATCATATTTAATGAACGAGGATCTCACTCTTAAGAGACATCCTTTTTGTCCATATCAACAACATACTGTAGACCGAGTCTTGTTTTGAAATTTCTTTATTCAATGAGGAAAAATAAAAGTGATACTAACCTTGAGGGGTTGCTCAATTGGTCTGGGTTTGGGTTTACTCCCCAATGATCACCAATTCGAATCCCCTCAAGGCCATTAAGGTGAGTACCCGACCGTAAACTTCAAGGCCCCGTGGGATTAGTCGAGGTGCGTGTAAGCTGGCTCAGACATCCACGGTTATCAAAAAAATTAAAAATAAAAGTGATACTAACAATACTCTGGTGAATGAAGCGATATTATTTCATTTAATACTGAAATGGATTTCTGCCATGATTGTATATTCGCCTTTTCATGTGTTTTCCAATTTATTTCATTTTAGTCCCATTTGAATGATTTCTATTTTTGCATTGAAAAAACACGTCCATCATCTATTATATGCTAAAGAATATAAATTAACACTACTGAATATGGCTGTGGCATGCTTCCAAAGACCTGAAAAGATTTGCTAGTAAAAGAAGAATTATGTACTTTATGTTACTGCGATTTCTTGGTAAACAGTTGGTTCCATTAATGTGCTCGTAATTTAAATATGATTATAGTTGATCTAGAATCCCGGTATGGCCTAGTTCTTCTGATCCTCCTATCTGGACATGCTATTTTATGCTTTCATGGGTGTGAGCTGAAATTTGGACCTGCTCTTGAAATTTCAAATTTGACAACTCAATATTATAGATGCTTTTATCAGAGGAACCGAGAGAGGCAGCTGTTGGACAAATTTTTGGTTCAATATATTTTTCCTCATTATTTGTTACAGTTTAAAGATCATTGTTTTGTGTTTCTAATAAACCATAGCAGGTTGATTCAGAAGCATTCATTTGAATTCTGTAAAATTGTCGTGTGTCTATTTAGAACAGCATGACTGGAAAACTGAAATGATGTTGCTAGAGGGCCTGTGTTTTTTTAACCAATTTGGACCAAAAAATAAGAGAGATGCATAAATATAGAGTATGTTTGGCAAAGTTAATCATAAAACTATTGGCGGGCCAGATATAATGGATTTAGCCACTGTTATTGTATATGGTGCTTAAGAAGTCTTCATGCACTATAACTACAACAATTAATACGAAGATATCGGCTTCAATGTATTAAAGTTCCCGAAAGACTATTAACCATCTTAGAAAATGAATTTGACACTGCAAATGAAAGAAAAGATTGTAGCCACTATATGACATATGTTTCCTATTTAATTCTTATTTTACTTCTTTTTTGGTTTTCTTGTTGCATGTTTGGTTTTTCTATTTGTTGTTTTGTATATAGATATGGGATTAGAAACGAAATTTCTGAGGATGATAGTTATAAGAGGAATTTTCTTAAGAACAAAATAGGGGGAGAGATGAAAACTGATCCTCTAGAATTTCTTGTACAAGGCATTCTTTTTTCTTTTTTTTTTAAGTGAATTTTTCATGTTACAATATTGCCCCAATTTAAAGATCGAAGACTTTTCTCGTGCGTTATTTTTCCAAATAAAAAAACTCTGTTGCTTATTTTATAGATTTTGGCCCAAAATCAAAAGAGAAACCAAATATTTTGCAACCACATCAAGCCAAGCTGTTTTTTGTCTATTTTTCTCTTCTACTCTGTCCAGTGGCTCTCCTACCATCAAGTTGCCATCTCCTTATTTATCCTCAATTGCGTCAGTTTTACCTCCAATTGTTGACGTGTGGTCACACATTCTCACAACCCTTGCCCACTTTAACATATATCCGGGATCTTGTGCAATGTGTTGCTATTAGGAAACGTCCCGACAGAATTGTATAGAGAGATTTATGTCATCTCATATGACAAACTTCACATAAGTTGTCGACATACTGCAACCTTTCTCGTTTATGAAACTGGCTATGAAGAATGTAGGTGGGTGTTATGGACCGAGATGGACACAATGACAAACTCTTTGCATGCATTTACAGAAACTTGATTTTTCTTTTGTGAGCTTACTGAATCTTGAGAGGTTGCTCAATTGGTTAGGCCTTAGATTTGCTCCCCAATGGTCACCAGTTCGAGTCCCCTCAAAGCCACTGAGGTGAGTACCCGGTTGTGAACTTCAGGGCACCGTGAGATTAGTCGAGGTGCACGCAAACTGGCTTGGACATCCACGGTTATCAAAAATAAAATAAAATTGTGAGCTTATTGTACGCAACATAAAATAGATACAATTCTATTTTTATGATTGAATGAGAAAACCACCTTTTCTTATTCTATATTCTTTGTTAGCATGATGCATTTTCTACCTTGGTTCCCTTTCTTGAAATAATTGTCATAGCTCAAGCAAACTTCCAACGACATTGTATTTGCACAGTCGTTCTATTTATGAAATGAAAGAAAGGCAGTCAAAATACCTCATTTTCAAGCCTGTTTGAAGTTTTTGTTAATGTCAGTCTCTACCGTTCATTCTTTTTGCAGAAAAGTGCAACCACCACCCTTGTCGGTCGAAGACCAGGAGGAGAAGGCCAAGAGGTGCGCATTTGTTCAAGGATTGCTGTTGTCCACAATTCTTGACGAAAACTTAAGGTCCGACTAAGGTGCCGGGCTTATGGACTTTATAAGTTGGGAGTATGCCCACCCCTATATTAATGGCTACTGTAAAATAAGTTGTAGTAACAAGTGTAATTCATGTGTTTGCCTAATATTTAGCAGTAGATTAGAAGCAAAATTCTTGTATCACATTCTGATTTCAGTTCATTGCCTTGACTAGAACATCATTATAATTTACTGCTACCTTCCATGATTCATATCTGTATTGGGATTTGTTCCAGCACAGAATGCTGTGCGCACGTGCGATTTTTATTTTGATGATGAGCACGATGATGAATGTGAAAGCGTGGGTTTACATCGTCGCCTAGTGAATTCTGAGAGAGAGTGTATATCAGGTACGAAATGTCGTCAAATTCTGTAACGCTTGCTGTGAAACAAGAACATAAAATAAGTATTACCTGCTTATCATACAAGAAAATTATGAAATCAAAGGCTACGACAACATGGAAAAACTTGTCCCTCAGAGAAAATCAGGAATCCTAGTCGACTGCAAAACTAGTGAACTAAGGCCAACTTCTTCTATTACACAGAGAACCTTAATCCCTCGAGAAAAGAGGGATTCTGGTTGTCATTATTTTTCTCACAACATTCCTTACAAGCAGATCGAAGCAAGACGAGCACTGACCTATCAGACTTCTCTGCATTATGCTTGCACTCTCGAAATGGTTACAGTTTAAAGGGTAATGTACTGGGTAGACTTTGATAAGTGCAATTTTGTGCACTTATTATTGCCATATTACTAGGTTTTTGTGTCGTTTTAATATTGGATTTTACTTAACTTAGGTTAATTTTATCTCATTTCAATTTTGGACACGTTTCTAAGCAATTGAAAAGAAAGAATAATCAATTGGCCAATGAATGGAGGTTTGGGGATTAATATGCATTTGAGTAAAAGTTGAAGCACTAAGATTGAAGTAATTTGATGTGGATGACCAAAATGGAAGAAATAATGAAGAAAATGACGGGAAGGAAAATTCACGAAATTTTTATAATTGGACAGCCGCCCAGTTATATTGGTCGGCGGGAGAAAATGGCTGGAAGGAAAATTCACGAAATTTTTATAATTGAGCAGTCGCCCGACCCTAGACTTCAATAGCAGGAGCCAATTTTTATACTTGGGCGGCCGCCCCATTTTCTATTGGGCGCCCACTCACGCCAAGTCGGGAAAAAAAACTATGTCTCCTTCATAATTCAATTCCAACAAAGAAACTTCCGTTTGAGCTACAATATGCAAGATTTTTGGAGATCTTTTGGGACTCTTTTGAGGGATATAAATACCAACTCTCAAAAAATAATCAGGGTGTGGATAATTAATTGTAGAAGAAGCCAAGAACATGAAGATCGAATCCAAGAATACAAGAATAAATTCAAGAATTATATTGAGTGATCGATTTTTAATTATTCTTTTTGTTTTCTTCTTCACAACATGCTAGGTTAGATTTATTTGTATTAGGAGAACGATGAACTATGTAATATAAATTTTAATCTTTAGTTTTACATTCTTGATATTGAAAGCACGTTTTTAGATATTGAACAATTTATATGATTTTTTTTCTCCACATTTATTGCGTTAATTGTGTGAATTTGGTGGCTTATTTCATGCATTTAAAAGAAGTGAAATATATTCGACATATATAAATTGTCATAGGGTCCAATGGGAGATAAAAATATATTGCTATACCTTATGTGAATTTTTAAGTGTTCATAAAAACTCATGTATTTTTGTATGTTCGCATCCGTCATAGAGATATCGTCGTGTCATATATGAGAATATATTTGACATTACTTGAGAGAGAGTGTTGAAAAATTTACGAACATTGATTTATCAATATTTCACCATATTGTCAAAGTGTAGAAGTAGAACTAAGTTTAAAACGAATTATTGCATAGGGATTCTTGATCCTAGTACATTCATCATAAATTAAAATACGCAAACTTACATTTAACGCTGTTTGCACTTAATTTAGTTAAATAATTTATAATTGTATACTTAGTATTATTTTAGTCATAACTTCATCAAAACAAAAATGTCATTTTATTCTAGTTTCGGTTAAGGTCAATGTAACTGGAATTGAACTAATCAATTTTCGTGGGACCATACTCGGACTCAAAAAATTCACTTTATTACTTGTTAACGAATTGCACACTTTTGGTGATTTTAATTCGAAATATATTTTCGTGAACAAGTTTTTGACGCTATTGTCGGGGATTAAATTTTAGTTTGATTTTATTTACCTGACAGTAATTCAGATTTCTACATATGTTCTTGTATTGTTATTTTTGTTCCATTTTAGTTTTTTTTTTTCTTTTTCAGGAAATATAAAAGAAAAAAAATAGTAGAATAAAAGATGACTATAGTTGATTTCAACAAAATGCATGTATGTGACTTTATCATAAGGTAACAACAATTGGCAGTTCAAGAAATTGATGAGTGAGATATGCTTGTGGAAGATTTCATTATAGGACAAGGGCTACGTGATATAAAAGTAGAATGTGAACTTGATGAAACTGTCCTGAGTGACTTACTCGTTCCATACTTTTTTCACCACAATTTGATGTGGGTGATTAGCCTATGAGATTATTTCTTGTCCTAGTTATTAATGGACATCAATTGAGAGAATCATGTCAACTGAACTTCTTACAAATACAACAAGAGGAGAAAACTCTCCATGAAGAAGTCAGTATTTCTTTGCCAAAAGTTTTGAACACGAACGTTGAACTCGAGAAAACTTCAATTGAAGAAGAAGAGTATGAAAAGATCGAGAAATTAATCATAACGGGCGTAAAAGAACTTGTAGCATTCAAAGAAGAGGAAATCCCTTGACTTCATCGTTTGCTCAAAAATTGAGTTTGTCATTAAACCTTATGAGGAGATTGAGGTGTATATTTTCGAGTTCGAAACCGATGATGAGGGAAAGTCATACTACTTGGAGAATGACAAGATTAAAATTTGGAAGAAAGTTGCAATATGGAACAAAGTTAAATTAAGCAAGCTAAGAAAGACCTCCAAAGCCATATTCAAAGTGCCGTGATACACTTGTGTAAAAGTCGAGCTTGAGACTATAACTCGAGTGCTTAATGGGAGGCAACCCATTTTTCTATCACTTTCTCCTTATTTTGATTAACTATTGCATTACAAGTAGTTTTAAGGATTGCATTAATTTAGAAATTCATGCATTTAAACAGTTTTTAACACATTTTAGGAAGTACTTTTAGATTTGCATTAGTAATTTAAGAATGTTTACTTATTGAATTCATTTTTTTTAGGCTCATCGTTAATATCCTAGCATTATGTTAATCTTACATTGATGTGATATGCATTTTTAAGGTTGCACCTACCTAGATTTCAATTTTTTTTTTTTTTTTTAATGTTAGAAGATTATAATTTGTTTGGGAGTGAATACATTATAAATATTTAAATCTTATTTGATATCATTAATATTTATTTTGAATTCTCGAAACAGAAGATTGAAGCCTAGCAACAAAGAAAAGTGATGGTCGTCATGACATCTACCAATCGGACCAACTTGATCATTCTACATATCCGCATCGAGTCTTATGCTTTTACTTAATAGCTTACGTGCCAAGCGGTCGCTCAATAGCTTGGGGCGACCAGTCAGAGTACCTGTTCATGGCGTGTCTCCTTTTTTGGCTAGTTTACACCCCAATTTTGGTTACCTAACTTTCAATTCAAAAGGTTGTGACTCATATGAAGTGTTGTAACTCTTGTGAAGAGTTGGAAGTTTCTTTACTGTTATCTTCTCCATTTCTCCAACCTTGGATTGAACCACTTTTTGTGTATTCATTTTTTCCTAAAATATTATTCATACTTCATCACACTACAGAAATAAAGTATTTATGTCGAGTATATTCTTCGTTGTTCTTAGGTGTTTGGATTGTCTTCTTTTGTGTAGAACTCAAACAACGTATAACAGCTTCATTGTATCTGAAGACATATTTGCATTCACGGGTGCATCACGATTTAGTGGGAGCAAATATCGTTTTAAGGAAAGCGATATTCATAACGTGCATTTATGTCGGTTGTGGCTTAGTTAGTGTTTATGCGATTTTCAACTGTTCTTTCGTCTACGTATATTCTTACGTCCACATTGGTGAATCTCCACCAGCAGGAACTGCCCAAGATTTGGCAAACAAATTCAAAGGTCAAAGTCTTCATAGATGAGAAAGTAAGAGGAGACCATTCAATAGACATTGCAGTTTACATTGCTTTTCCTCCAAATCGTCCTATGATAAGCCGAAGGGTACCGAGTGACCAATTCATCATTAAGAGCACTAAACCAAAAACCATAAAAAAAAAAATGTAGTGATGAGAACTTGATAACCTGTTCCATTGCAATTCATACTTTCGAATTCCTTTCAAATCTATACTTGAAAAGAGTTATTCCCTAAGTACAGGGAATAACTCACAGAATTTGTACAGTAGCATCCTGTGCATTTGTGTGTGTGTATTTTTTTTCATCTTTAAATCTGTGTTGTCCATTTCATTGTATGTATCAATTTTGTACAAATTTTCTGTACCTGTAGACTGAATCACTTGAAAATTCGTTATTTGGGATTCCCACCCCCACCACCACCCCCCAGAAAATAGCCAATGTGAGTCGAACATTTTTGGCTTTTTAATGGTACTAAATCATATCGAGTAGAATAGAATAATTAAATTTTGAATCATACGCGAAAGTCTTGAGTAAATATTCAAGTACGCGTACAAATCACTTTTCCAGCCTGTTCCATGGACCCCCAACAAATGGGTGGCAGGCTAACCACATGGCTTCATCAGCAAATCCAAATTCCACAAGACCAAACATGGTCCCACTCAACAAGTTGTATGTGCTCAAAAAACGAGGATAGGTCAGTCCACTAAATTATTTTAACACACAAATATTTCATTTTTCCTTCTAATACCTTAGTATTCATCTGTATACTTAAATGCAACATCATAGAATCACTATTGTAATAGATAATATT